TTTTCTTTTTTTTTTTTTTTAAACAAAACAGATAAAGTTCCCCAGGTGATGGAGTAAGAATGAATCTTTGGTGCTCATTTAAAGTGGCAGTGCTATCTGTAGCCGCTAGTTTTAAGTAGTGAGTGCTAAGATGTTTGGGAATCCCAGCCTCATAATGCGAAACTAAAGTCACAGATGATGAAGGGATTAGCGAGATTTGTAATGCTTTACTACTTACATAAAGAAGCTTTTTTATGTTTTTCGGACTTTATGAGAACTAAACATTTTATTGTAGAAGTGTTTGATAGTGATGCCTTTATAAGTGAGGTATTGTGTCGATTTGGAGATCCCTCATAAAGCACAGACAGCACAACCTGTCACTGAGACTTTATTAAAGTTGTCGATCAGATGGGAATCTGATGGGACCAAAGTCACACACGACCAGCCACGGGTTCAGTGTCCTGCTTGTGTTCTGATGACTTACAAACGTAAGCATGTGTGTTTGAAAGCTCTGTAAGTAACCTGTGTATTTGCTTTACTGTAGTGCAGTTTTTGTAATGTTCAGGCTGAACCCAGACTGGTATTGTGCTGTACTCTTTATGAGCTTAGACACACAGTGCAGCAGCATCACTTGACACACGCAATAAAATCTGTAGATTTATATTTGGTGATATCTGCCGAGCACCTTTAAAAAAAAACAAAAAAACCCCCAAACAAACAGTGTTTTACTTACTGTGACTGCACTTGACTTTCTTGTAAATGCTTGCTTGAATAAAGAACAGCAGTGCTCGTTTTGTGTGAGTTTGTTCAACAGTTCTTACAAGTGGAAAGAAAAATACCCAACAACCCACAGTCAAAGAAAGATATCAAATATTTTATTGGGCATCATATTTTTTCTCTCTGTGCTCTGGCCAGAGGGGACAGAGAGACCAAAGTCAGCTCCGTATTGTCAACAGTATTTCAAAATACAGTTATCTGGAGATATTAACATCTTGTCTGGAACAGCAAGTGTCTTTTACAAGCAGTTGAAAGAGGAAAAAGTCAAGACAGAAATCAGCTTACAGAGTTTGATATTATGGGCGGTGGTGTTGTGAAATATGAGTCACGTTTTACATGTTAAAGTGGCCTCTCGTCCATTTTAGTGTTTGCTGAACTAAAAAACAACAAAAACGACTCCCGTTCAAGACTGTGAAAGAAAAGGAACTAAGACATTAACCACAGGACAGAAAAAAAAAAAACAGCTTGCTTCTGGCACTGGCAGACAATGTTGAAGATCTACTTTGTTCACCATTTCTGCAAACAAAGAATCCAGGAGTTTCTCATTATCTGCTGTGCCTCTGACAGAAGACATGATAAGAATTAATGACTGGAGGAGACTTTAATGAAAGGAGAGCACTGACTCCTAATTGTACAGCAGCAGTGCTATCAACCATCAACCCTGTTGATCCCTAATGAATCATGGTGGTGTGTTTCTTTTCCCCTAACAATACTTTGGGGTAGGACTGAAAGAACAGTCTGCCAACACTGACCAACTGCTCATCAACCAGTTACAGTTGCCCATTTCAGATACCACAGAGGCTCAGATAACAACAACAGCCTTGGAAATAAGTGAATACACGTTTAAGCTGCACTGAGACTATCACATTAATAACAACTCAATTACAAGCAGAAAAACCCCTAAGGCTGAAAAAAAGGAAACCAGTTCTTCAAATGGTTACTTGAGGCAGGCTCTGTCCTCACAGACCCCCGTGTAGGAATGGACAACTTTACAGCAGAAATAAACACGTTCATTACTGGTTTCAAGAAATGGTTTGGGTCTCTATAGCTATTTTCTGCAGTTGTGACAAAAGTTAGGGTAATTTTCTTCAGCACCCCCCCCCCTTTTTTTTGTTTTTTTTTGTTTAAATTACATTTGGGCATAAGGTTTGGATTATACTGTCAGCAACGTGCCAGTGTTGTTCACTTTTCATTCTGGTGTGAAAGTAAAACAAATAAATCAGTGGCCCTGAGAGGTCAAAAGGCACAGCAACCTAAGAAAACACCGGAAAAGCGAAAAACAGTGCAAAAGCACACAAAATACAACAGAAGAAACAAAAAAAAACCATGCAAAAAGGTAAAAAAAAATAAATCGATAGAAAACCAACCTCAAAAAACAACAGAAATGCAACAAAAGTGTTTTTGGGGAGACGGACCAGCTGTGGAGGTGACAAACTAACAGTAAACAGCTAAAAGCAAACATGCATCTACAGCATTTTATGAATATGTGATTAAAACACATACTACCCCTCATCTTTTTCCTCAGGTCACAGATAAACCCTTTGTTTCTTTTAAGCGTCTTTCAGAACAAACCTTTTATTCCGCAGCAGTTCCGTCACAATACTGTGTCCCTAAAAACATTTCGTTTTTGTTCAGTTTTGTGAGATTCCCCCCCCCCCAAAAAAACTTCCATTGACTTTTGTGTGATTTTTACATTTTTCTATTGGTCCTAAATGTCAAATAGACATTTTATTATTTGCTGGTGTTTTCTTAAGTATATGTTTTTGACCTCTCAGGGCCACTGTAGTTTTAATATTAAAACCTTTAACTTTGGACTCTTCTCCTCTCAGCTTGACTCCTGCCAGTTACAAAATACAAATACGCAGCTTTAATAATATTATTTTTTAATAAGTGCACAAATTTTAAGTCATGTTTTATACCAGAGCTTCTGTGTCCACTTTGTGAAGAGATAAATCCCAAAAGAACCCAATATGTATGCTGACATTTAAAAATAAATGACGCTTCCTGTAAAGCTTTATATTATTGTCAGCTATCAGTCTAACCCCAAGTATAGCATTGTGTGCATGTAAATCATACATTATTTTGCTATAACAATCACCCCAAACTAACCAATCTCCATCCATGTAAAATACTACAACAGAATACTTTCAACATTAGCCAGTTTGCATGTGCTTTACTGAAGGTCTAGTTTGTCATTTATAACAAGGGAAATAAAGAAAACTAAGGATCCATTTACACTGATAACTGATAAATACTTTACTACAAATATAAATATACACTACATAATCAAAAAACTGGAATGTGAGTACATTTTGAAATCAGGAGTTCCAACATAATCTTCATTTATCCACTTACAATAAGGCAAGCGTTAGTCTGACATGAGGGGATATTAGCCGCTATTTACAAGGATGCTACATGGAATTAAGCTATCGTTACTTCCACAGGTGAACTTACCAAAAAATGTTTTCTTTAATTCAAAAAGCAAGCATTGTGCAAGTAAGTGCAGTGCTGAGAACGTTATGAGACATCCTTGATGTACAGATGCACATCTGTGTTTAACCTGGGACACTGAAAAAAATCAGAAAGGGTGAGAGGAAACGAGAGCTTTGTGATGACATGAGTGCATGAGAGTGAGCGCGAGTGAACAGTCATAAGCACTGGCAAACCATTTAAAAAGGCTTCGTGTCCTTCTCTCTTTAAGGCTTTTGAAGGAACGCAGGCAGCACTCAGCTGTACCTCGATTTAGCTGGAGACAAATTCAGCACGTCAGCATTAAGTGCTACATTAGTTTAGAGTACCTGTCTAGTACCCAAGAGCCTTTGTGGTGGCAGGAAATCAATTTTTACACCACAATTTTAAATATTTTCCAAAGAAAGCGACGCATATCTAAGAGGCTGCTGTGCTTTTTGAAAAACTCATTTGCACCAGCATGACGTTAGGGAATTTAACCTACAAAGCTAATGCTAATCACATCTCAAACGGTAACGCAGCTCCTCGGAATGGTGGCGACAGGACTTTGTGGCTGTCGGCGCCCGTTCGTATGAATGTTTCCAACTTTTCCATCCTTCACCTGAGACGATGAGACGGAGGCTTGGTCACTGATGTCACGCAGCTGCATCAAATCCCCTGGGAGATATTTTATCAAGAGATTTCCTTCATCCTTCACAGAAGCGCCTGTTCTATTAATTTTCACATTACACATTTATTTAAGGTAAAATTGACATCAACAGAGCCCCGCCTAGTGACAACCTACTGATGTAAAACCTCCTGAGAGTGATTTAAGGCCAACTAGTGAAAGAAATCAGAGACAGAGAGAGTCATTTCAAGCATCCACCTCCACACACGTGACACAGGGCTATATACAGATGGTATGCTGTGATATGCAGTTTGTGGGCCACACTAATAAGCAAGGGAAGTTTTTACAGGAATGGCTAGTCAGCGATTTAGTGAAACACATACAATTCAAGGCCAAGAAAAAAGAAAAAAGAAAAAGGACCTTTGTCAAAAGAAGCAATCAGATATACTTGAATGTAAACACTGATATCAATACCATTCGTCTCTTAGGAGAACCTGTTAGAGCAAATGCACACATGTACACGCACACAGCCCTCGTTGTGCTTAGGGTTGCGTTTCAGATCAGAGCATCAAATCAGTCAAACAATCTGATGTAAGACTGATGGTGAAATTAAAGAAAAGATTGTTATGAGAAGCAAAAAGAATGTGGAGGGCTGCACACACGCACGCACACACACACACACACGCACGCACACACACACACACACACGCGCACACACGTTCACCGAGCAGAAGCCTGGCTGCAGCTGAAGATCTCAGGCGTGAAGGGGAGCTGTACTGTACAGAGGGGTTTCCATGACATTAGAAGAATGGGCGGAGCAAATGAAGGGCCAGTGGGGCCACTGTGTAGAGGCCTTGGCCAATCAGCGTGGGGAGAAGCCTGTTGCTAAGCTACAGCCAACCACCTGTGTCATATCCCATATCTGTGGAGACAAACAGCCAACAAGAATGTCAGGACAGATAAATGTGGATGTAAAGTAAGGAAAACATGAAACAACACAAACTCCACAACAGTGTACACAACACCCAAGACAACAGGCTAGAAGGTTTTCAAGCAAGGCAGATATTCAAAAATGTTGAGACAATATATGCAAAAAGTGAAAACATGAACTTTCTAAAGCTTTGATTGCATTATTATCATCACATATGACAAAAAAGTTAAAAATGTTTACTAATGAGAATCTAAAACCAGAGAAATTTAAATGATTTTCTTTTCTTCTTGAAAATTCAAACATGTTTTCAAGTGCCTTGGCTCAATGCCTCTCTTCCAATCTCAGCATCAACAGTGAGCAACATTAGTAAACAGTAGCTTAGAATTGGAATGCAATAAAAACAAATACCAAGAAATGGTAAGCTAACATTACTCAGAAGAGAGCACGTTTTATGTAAGCTATTCAGACATTCAATTTATAGAGGGACTGCTTATGTTTGCCAACAGAACACTGTCTCGAACATCTAGTAACTCATTTAATTTATGTAGTGTAGATATGTTCCAGCTTGCTTGCTAACCACATCTGCCTTGCAAATGTTACCGCTAGCGAAGGTGTGTGGAAATCCTACTAGCTTACCAAAAACCATTGGCGGCTAACACCATCCATGACAGTAAGTTATGTATAATGTGGTACTAATTTTAGCCAAATATAAATAATTTAATGGAAAAATGCAGAGATTATAGCTATCATTTGCTTTCTACAATGATAGCCAAAATTGGTGGGGTTACTTAAGTTACAGCTTGGTTTCTTATTCTTCATATGCCAAATCAAATTTGTTGTTAATTTAGTCATTCTCAGGTTTACAGTATATATACTGCTCTCTCAGCTATTGGACAATTCACATATCATACAATACATCCGTAAATACAACACAATAGTGTACAAATTGCTGCACAATATTAATTACAATCATTAATAGTTCAGTATATTATGTGTTGCTCTTGCTAATTAGCCACCCCCACCATTAGCTAATAACTCCCAGTTCTACCTTACAAATATGGCCATGTCCAGTTTCAAAAATCAAGATGTCCAAAATACCAAACTCAGAGAGGTAGTCTGTGAAACATTGGGTGACGTCATGGTGGCCATCTCCATCTTTTACATACAGATTATGATCTAAGGTTTTTCAGATTTAACTGAGATCTGTTTTGGAAGGAGGATGAACATGACATAGCTCTGCACAATGTCACATGCAGTGCTGGTTTTAGTGGATGTGTGAAATCAGGAGTCCAAATAAAAGCAGTTTTTTAATGATATTTTTAAGGCTCTAATTAATAATTAAAGATTAAAAAGGTTTAGCATGCTGCTTTTTATAATGCTGAAAAGGTTTTACAGGACTGCCTGTAAATATAAATGTTTTCATATACAAAAAAAATAGGTAAAGCTCGATTGTGGGCTTGATTTGTTTTGGTTTGCATTTTGCTTCAGAGGCTCTGTGCTTAACACAGCCGGCTCACATGCATGAATTATCTGGTATCAAAGAACTGTTGTTGACCTTAACAATGCGGTCACTTCCACAAGTGACCATCAGGCCTCTCGATGGATCCATGTCCATGTGAGCGATGTTGTGTTTCCCCTCGTGGAACGTGGCCAGCGGTGTCCGACTGCACACACAATGACAGCATTTCATTACTTTCCCTCACTAATCTGGTAAAGGGGTTATATAATGTGATTAAATACTACACAAAATTAAACTCACTCTTCTTCTTTGATGGTTTCAAAGCAGGCGTCACACACCCGTACCGGGAACTCAAAGCCCATGATTGGAAACGTGGAGCGTTTGGAGCTACATTTTCCACACACGGCCTTGCCGCATTTCCTGCAGTGGTGCTGCAACACAGGAAACAAGCTCATATCACATTGTGACTAATAATGAGAACATCAAAATGCTAAGGACACAGGCATGAGTAACCTACCTGTCTAAGTCCCAGGGTCTTAGTGTCCCACATCTGTTTGATATTCCAGAAGAAAGGCTGCTCACACTTCTGACAAGAGTCGCTGTCTAACCACTGAGGCGCCTGCAGACAGACAGACTCGAAGGCTAACATTACACATGCAGAGACACTCGAGCATTCACACAAGGACTAAGATGAAAATACAAAGGAGCGACTAAACTCCTTACCACTGATAGCAACAATCTAATACTAAAACAGTGCACACAGAGAAAACTGTCTTATGATTCAAACCTCTTCTCTCTGCGTGTCCATGTTCCACACTGCGATGCCTCCATCAGCGGAGCATGACACCAACTGCCTGGTCAACTGGAGGTAACGCAGAGCCTGAACGCGCTCGCTAAAGGAGTCAAAGATACAGACAAGACAATACATATCTTAACAACTACAACAATAGTGGACAAGTGTTCACCTGGTGGACAGAAACACCGGTGGAAAAGATTTTCAACTTTCAGTCTGTTGATGCACAAATAAATTCACAGTGTTTCTATATGTTTCTGTCAGCTATTTTAATGTATTTTGCTCCCTAGTGGTCACAAAGGATTAATCTTTTTCCTACAGTAGATAAATTGAAGACTAAACACGCTTAAAGTTAAAATTTGACTTTAGATTAAGACTAAAAGGTTTATTGCAACTTTTGTTATTTAGTGCTGAATGCTCTGTGGCCATCAGCTCAGGCTGCAGACTGAATCCTTAAGGCTTGATTTCTTTTTTACTACTCTTGTATATGACCGATGTCACTAACAAGGGATACGATCATCTCAGGGTACGACGACAACAGCCTCACTTGCTGTTCAACCTTTTGCTTGTGAGCGCCAGCCAATCAGATGAAAGTTGGCTTAGAGGGAAAAGGAAGAGAACTAAAACAGCTTGCTTCACAGAGTTTATGAACTGAAGGCTGCACCACAGCCAAGTATAAGCTGTGTATGGAAACCTACAATAAGCAGAACAGGCCAACATTGATATATAAGTAAACTGGAGGACAGGATGAGGAAAAAAAAAGATACAGATCCACAACAGGGTTTAAGACCTGTAGTGTGTCATAATTCTCAGTTTATGGGTGTCTGAGAGATAAATGTCTGCAAATCCTGACAGGGAACAACGGGGTCTTTTGAGACTGGCTCTGATATGCATCAATGTACATGGGCTTTGTGGATAATTCCTGTACCTGGGAGGCGGTAAAATATGGATGAAGACCGGAGATAAAAATGGTGACAGTGCCTGCGGAAAGCTGCAACTGACACTAGGCGAGACCTGCCTTTGACAAGAGGATGCAGTTACAGAGTGTACTGCACATAGGCACTGCTGTGAAAAGGATAAAAACAGGGACGTGGAGTTTTATTCCTGAGGAATCGTTCACATATCAATATCCCATTTTGCGAACTCACTTTGAAGTTCCCACATCTTTGACAAAAAGCAGAATGACAGCAAACTAGGATCTCATGCCTGAATGTAGCAACACTCGATAACTTACTGATGCCCCTGCAAGAGCAGCGTTCGTCCTTTGCGGCCTCCGATGTCCCACATAATGACACTGTGGTCGGAGGCCCCTGAGAAGAGCAGCCTCTGGACTGGGTCCCACCACAGCGCTCCTACACTACCTGAATGCAAAAGAAAACAGACTCATCATACGCGTTTCCATCTTCTGCCAGGAGCTCAACGGGACACAGGATCATGGTGCGAACTGCTGGCTCCACCCAGTGCCCGCTGGGAGAAATGCAGCCAGTTCCAAGTAACATTTTACAGCACGACTCTCTTAATGACTCCAGCTATAATTTAATTATTTTGTCTAATAAGCACGCATACCACTATAACATATTACATATTCCTGTGCTATTGAGCCAAATGAAAGCCACATAGAGCAACTTCAAACACCAGTAATATCAGCGATGACTCTGACATTACATCTGACCTTTATGTTGTCTTTTCCAATTTTAATGGAACATAATCTCCATTAAATATTTGGGGCTTGTGCACAGTTGGAGCCCACCTATTAATATGTATCACCATCTGTCCAATTACCATGTGTAACCATGAGCACCAGAGCACAGGTGCAGATCAAAGAGAGCGGTAATAAGATTCAGACTGGTTTAATGCAAGCGTTTGTATTTTTAGGTTTTCTAAAATCGTGTGATTTGCCTGTTCCACCTGGCTATACCACAGGCGACATGTTTGAGGCTAAAAAAAAAAAATTAGGCTCTGAAAGGATCACATATTTTACTCAGTGCCTGGTTATCAAAAACTGAAAGAAGAACACAGGGAAGTGTTTGTCTCGCACAGCCAAGTGTCTCGGCAGTTCAAATTTGTTGTGCGATCCATTTTCTTGGCACAGCTACAAGGACACTGAGCCCCATGACTGCAAATCTCATCTGAGTCACAGATCATCGTTTGCATTTGCATCTTGATACAAACTGAGTCATTCTCCCATCTAAAAAGCCTCAAGTGGCCACTGAGTGGTTCTGATGAGCATGAAAACATTGCAGCTGCCAAGCCTCAACTAAAACAAGCAGTTACAGGAACTTGTAGAGCTGCAAGTGAGATGGCATTTTCCACCAACACCATCATCATCATCATCATCATCATCATCAGCCAAAACAAAACTGCTGTTGAAATGAGAAAGAAAGGTCTGGCTTTTGCAGCTTAGTGCCATACTCGACATGATGAATTTTGCCACTTAAAGGCAAACAGCAGCAGTAGTGCCGTAAACTATGACATGTTTACATCTTCTGTTAGCGCCACTTCTGTTTTTTTAAACTTTGTTGATCATTCTTTCCGTTTACCCGCCTGCTGTGAGCAGACATGTTTCTTGTGATTGTTTCTGAGTGGACTGAAAGAAAACATCATGCAACAACAGGTCAAACACAATGCAGCTCCACAAACAGCTGCTGACAGTTTAGTCTGTCATCCAGCAGTGGGATCTGATTGTCTGGTTCTGCTGGAGGTTTCTTCCTGTTAAAAGGGAGTTTTTCCTTCCCACTTTCGCCAAGTGCATGCTCATAGGGGGTCATCTGATCGTTTGGTCTTTACCTGTGCAAAGTGAACTAACTTAGCCCCCCCCTCCCCACCTCAAGGAGCAGATCATCTTACCTTACACGGGGAGACGTCTCTGCCTCACTCTCACTATAGCAAACTGGTGTTTTAAGCATATGTAAACATGGTGAACTATTGTGTGAGACCAGTTTTCCTGATAGGAAGAGAAATGGAACTTGTTTTTGTGCCAGCTGCAGCTGTCATAGAACAGGAAGATTACATTCCTGGTGATATGACGTGAGTTCTGGAGGCGATTTTGAAGCCAGGCCTGTATGATACTGACAGCTGGTGCGGTTCCTTCTGTGCAAGCAGCTGCGTCACTTACACCTCCAGGAGCAGCTTCCCGTACTGGTGCCGGGGTGACCAACGGTCAGCGATTGATGAGAGATTCAGCTCAAGAAAAACACCAACTGTTCGCCAGTTTTCTGTTTGATAACTTCCAAATTAGTGGGTATCACGAATTAAATAATGTGAATCAATAAGAGCTGATACTGACGTTTTAGTTTCTGTATAGCTTCTATGCTCAATACAATACTGTGATATCCCAATATATGAGCACTAACCTTACGGTACCATATAGGAAAACAACATAAGCCAATGTTTTTCCATTTTTCCTCCTGATCCAGGTCTCCTTGATGTCTAACAAGTTAATAATTGTAAGATTGTGATTTACATTTTCAAAATCTCAACCACACTTCTGTTACATGAAAGCTCTGTGGTTTTTGATTGTGCTATAAGCTCTGTTACAATGAATGACTTTAAATGCTTTTTAGGACATATATAGACTAGAAAATCTAGTCAATACAGTTATCGCTTCATTTATCTATACGTTTATCCACCGAGATCTCCAGACTGCAAGATGCTCTTTAAGTTTGTGGATGCATATTAATGAGAGATAACCCAGAACTCCCCTAAAAAGTCGCAAACAAGAAGGACCTCGAGAGAATATCATCACACATGAGAAATTGGGAGGAAAAAAAAATAGCTCTAACAAGAAAGACTTGCAGGAATTATGTATTTAATTGTTGCATAAATGTTGGTATTTGGTGCCTGTTTATCAAGGAAGCGACATTTGTGTGTATCATGTATGCCTTTACCTTCATGACCCTTCAGTGTAGTGATGGTGGAGTACGTCTGCCTCTCCAGCTTCAGCAGAGTGAT